TTTTTTTTTTTTTTGTGAACGCGTTGAACCTCGCTCGACGCCCTCAGATGTAATAACATACGGTCGCGTGGGAGGCGGCCGTGTTAGGGGGCACTATATCACTGTTGGCATTGTCTCGGTACTGACGGGGGGTTAATGACGGACTTGGGGGGCATCGACCGCGTACGAGCTCAGTGAGAGCTCCGGGATTATTGGCGTTATTGAATTTTTTCAGGGTTGACGGGAGAGTTGGTGGGCTGATTGGAGGGCGTGTAATTGACTTTGCTACAGGTTTAGGGTAATCATGAGTCGGGAGTGGAACTTGGGTGAGTCTAATGTGGGTTCGCAGATTCTTTTGGGGTGGGGCGGGGTTCACGGAGATAACGTGTTTTCAGTGTTTTGACATGGAATTCGGGTTGACAAATATGTCAGAAAATTAAGGAGTAACTGCAGTGTTGAAAATTTTCGTCGGAATTTTCCGTGCCAAGTATCAGAAAATTTGGACGTGTTCAATTTTCACTGAAATTTCAGGAAATTTTGTCATTGAAAAATCAAATATTCCGTTGATATTCTGTTCGAATGATCTGAATATCAATAGAGGATTTGATTTTTCAGTGTAATTATTCCGTGAAAATTCTGAAAAATCAGGAAAATTTAGGGAAAAATGGAAAATTCAGTAGCGATACCGTAAACCGGGTTAAGTAGTTTTTAACAAATATCGCGGAATCTAAAAGAGATGGAAAATTTTTTTTCACGATCCTTTTTGTAGACCCAATGTGTATCAGATGTACCATATGGACCACAAATTTAAAATGAAGAAGAGCACCCGATGGTGACCATGGTTTAGTGTAAAAAGTAGATATATTACATTATATTTTTATATACCTGTTTTTTTTCATATAAATAACTGCAAACAACCAAAATATCCTATTGTAGTTGCAAATAAGAACATGGTTAAAAAAAAAGGAAAGCACCCGATGCATAATCGGAAGGTCTCGGGTTCAAATCCCGGTCTATCCATTTTTTTCAGTAAAAATTTTCTAGTTAATGATACTGAGAATGATCCCGGTTCCCCTCATACCTCATCCAATCCTTTCCTATGACATCACAAAGATGTGGAACGCTATATAAATTCCCTTCTTTAATGTATTTTCAAGGTTAAATGCAACATAGTCATCCTCTGGAGCAACCTGATTGTCACAATTGAAACCTAATCAGGCTCGCCTGAGAAGGACCTAACAGGAGAAATCCGATTTTGGAAAAATGAATGCTTCTAACGAGTAGAAGAATATTAGCAAAAATAATTTTTTTTCTCAGAGTAGAGCGACCAACGGCGTGTTAATTACCCTACCAACGTATAATCTCTCCGATCACACCTTCATCACTTTCCACTCGCACATTTTAAAAACTCAACTCAGTTACCTCGATCCACTCTCAATAAAAATGAAAAAAAAAAGAGTAAAGCCACTGAAACAAAAAAAAAACGTTGAAAATTGATGGAAGTAATTGACATCGTTTAACGCTCGACCTATAAAAGCGCCGTTTAATTTTCCCGCTCGTATATCCGAGATCACTGGAGAGTTTCGGTGCTGAGGCTGAGGGAAGGGAATATTGCGGGTAAATGCAGACGTGGGGAAAGAGAAGTAGATGAGGTGGTAGAAATCGAGTGGGTGTAGTCGGGTTACCTAATGGCTTATCCGATGGGTTACGTCTGTATGTGTATATTTCGCATATCTCGCGTGGCAGAAGGGCGGCGGGATGATGGTTAATGTCGTTAATGTAATCTTTACGGAATCGTGTGATAGCCCCTCAATTTCGTGACACCACCAATCATCGCCTCTCGGGCTCATCTCCTGGGGCCGCACTTGCCGGATGGTGGAGTGTGAAAAAGAATTCGGCGAGGGAGGTATTATCCACGGTGAAGACCGTGATACACCGCAGAGGGTGAAAAAGTACAAGAATTATCGATTTTTCGCGTTCTTAACGATGATTGATGTCACTCTCATCGTGACTTCCACTTCTCTCACCTTTTTTCGATATTCCCGCAGCAATAAGGGGAATTCCGGGATTATGAGGTAGCCTTTGGGTGATGGGTATCTTCAATTTATCAAGGTTTATTCAATTATCTCCTTCGGAAGACGTGTTCAAGATTTCAGGTTCACGAGCGCAAGAGAAAACTGAAAATTGATTGAGTAGTTAACTACAATGTGAGAAAAACACTTCTGAAATTTCAAGTGAAAAATTT